ATACATCTAAGAATTTTTAAACAGCTTAATTTGATTGATTAACAATACTAGTGTATATATTTCAATTAACGTTTAGAAAAACTATCATTTTTTAAACATGAGTTATCTCAACACGTAATCGATTTTAACAGACGGATCTTGTTTTTGTACTTTGCTTATACGGGAAAATTTAAACAGACGTTTAACAATGCACGTTCAGCTATAACTATAAGAGTCATTTTTTTTTCATTGTCGAATATTATGGTGCCATGTGGTCGAAAAATTTCTGTAACTTTGGCCAACGTCCTGCCTGTAATTCGCCTGAACTGCATTTTTAAGGACACATCTAAAATTGGTTCTTGAGATTTAAAATTTGTTGAAAGTCAAATGCAAATGAGGTGACTGAACAGGTAAAACCTGTTTGCAAGATAACAATTAAATATGACATTTGTCCTAACTTTACTTATGAACTTTAACGCCTTTTCCATGTAAATAGTGACTAATGGACAAACACGTCCTTTTCATCAACAGATTGAAGAACAAGCCCTAAAGAACTTTATTCAACTAGTCGTATTGCACAAATTATTACTGGAATTAGAAGCAAACTTTCAGAGTCAAACCACAGTTAACTGGGGCTGGTTTACCAGTTGACGCATTAATCTGCCCAAAATAACAGTTTACGATGTCTAGCTAAAAAAATAAAAAAAAATAAATAGATTTTGTTTGTTTCAGAGGTATGGAAATATTAACGTCACAATCCTTGTTTGGTGGACTATTCACTTCACAATCTGTTATGAAAAGCAAGTTTCTGCAATGAAAGCAAAAGTACATGGGCGCCAACAGCAGTGACTGCAGATGACATCATAGAATTTGTAAATTGTTTGTCTACACTAGTACATGATAAATTCCGTCCTCCGGACGTAAGTATGCTAAACTTAATATATATTATATCAAAACTATATATTTAAAAATAAAAATAAAATCCGAATAAAATAAAATCTTTATGCATAATTAATTATTTGTCTATTAACTCATATCAAAATACCTGAAGGAGCCCTTGCCCCCAATGAAAAGGCGAGTTGGTATTATGTTAGGAAAAGGGTTAGTCAGGGAAAAGGAGATTCGGATTGGATTTAGGGATCTGGAGTTGAGGGCGCTCCCGACAAGGACGGGAGCCGTGGCAGGGAGGCTTATCTGAAAATGGGGACAGGGAGCCATAGTAGTTGCTACGTCCGCCCCAAGACGTGTGCTGAGGTTATTAATAGGGTTAGGCTGGTGTTATATATTCAGTCTACTATTTATATGAATCTTAAAAAATCCACGTCCTTTTTTAGTGGTGATCATTTTATTTGAAACAGATACAACCAAATGTTTTTTCACAGTCTTTGGAAAAATAATTTTGTACTTGCATAATTTGAAGTCTACAATCCTGTCCACTAATGGGTTATACAGACATTAGACCTCATCAGAAGTTAATCAAATACAACTCAATTGAGCATCTTTTTCATTTGATGATTAGACCATACCATTGTCATTATAGTATACGAGTTCTAAAAAATATATCATGTCGGTTTTAATGACTGATGCAGTTATTCTTAAATAGAAATGTATACAATAAAAGTTCCTCTCCATCTTTGGAAGATAATAGTTCGTACTTTATCATCTTATAATGAATATCTACAAAACTGCTAATACATGGTTATATAGACACTAAGACGTTTCTAAATAAATAATTAATTATTAAAATAAGCAATATTCAGTATCATAAAAGGCATTTGATAAATGATATAAAATAATATCTGGTAAATGATATAAAATAAAAATGACATGAAATGATTATAAAAGGACACTGAAGATGACCTATATACAAATAATAAAAATATTATCAAATTTGATTTATACCATAATGTCCATATGCTAGACTATTCACCCCGTCATTTAACAAAAATCGCTTATCATTTAATTGGGATAAACTAACTTTTCGCAATAAAATCGCGCTAAGGTGATGCTTACGACTTTCAATTTTGATCATATTGTGCCTGTGCACCATTTTCCCGAAAAGACAGTTTCTATAATCTTCATGTTTTAAGTCACACTGAATTACAGGTTTTTAAAACTCCTTTTGCAGACTTCTTCTCGAATAATTTAGTTTTCAGAGAGTACATTTTGCTCTTTAACCCAACAAATTCAATGGCAATATTCCTGTTTATTTCATCTTTCCGATGACCTTTTTATTTGCCTGGATGTGTAAAGGGTGCTCTGTAGGGTAATCAGACGTATCATACATATGTAAATCTTTTGCATCTCTGTAGTAATCGCCAGAGATTTATAACAAGAGACCCGTATCTGTGAAGAAGATGGAATTTTCATCTCATTTTGACTGAGAAAAATAGCTAAGCATGCCTCGCTTCTCCGCATTTCAACATTTCCTTTTTTACAATTGTGGACTAGCTGCTAAAAATTGCAAAGCAAGACGTTAACTTGAATCGGCCGTATATGCTGCGGAGTCTCTATTCGCTATTCTAAAAGACTTCTGTATCAATTTCACATGATTTCATGCCGCTGAAGTATGGAAAAATGTCCATCTTCTTTTTCAAGATACTGATTATTAGTGTGATGAAATTCATGTCAGATTTTACCATGATCGCTAAAAGATTTGCATATGTATGAGAGTCCTATTACCCGACAGAGCCTTTCTTTAGTATAAGCAAATAAAACGGTATCGGAAACGCGCCCGTTCCTCACAGGGAAGATTGCCATTGACTTTATTGGTTTACCGAGTAGTAAAATGTACTCTTACAACTGAATTATTCGAAAAAGAGACTGCAAAACATGGTTTTAACCCGTTCCTCCAGCGTGCACTCCAAAACAGAAGATTCCGGAACTGTCTTTTCGGAAAAAAAAGCTGCATCGCACAATATGATCAAATTGAAAGTCGTAAGCATCACCTTAGGATTTTATTGCGAAAAGTCTCCTTCATAGATGATAAAACGATTTTTATTAAATGACACAACTGAAAGTTTAGCATAGGACATTATGTATAGATCAATTGATAATATTTATTATTGTATAGTTATCTTCAGTGTCTTTTATAATCATTTCATGTCCGTCTTATTTTATACCAGTATTATTTTATATCTTATCAAATGTTTTTATGATACTGAATATTGCTTATATTTAATAAATTAATTATTGGATTTAAAATTGTCTTTATTGTCTATATAAAACCGATTGTATGTAGCAGTTTTGTAGTATTCGTTATAAGATAAATATAAGTAGAACATAATATCTTCAAGACTGGAAGGACACATTTTTGTTAGCCATTTCTATTTAAAGAAACTGCATCGTCAGTTAAAACACGTATGATATATGTTTTTAAGACTCAATATAACTAAGTAGGATCACATGGAATGTAAATCATCAATTAAAAAAATAACTCAATATGTATTTATTAAACTTATGATTTGGTCTAAAATGTCTGTATGAAACCCATTATATGTAACAGTATTGTAGACATTCAAACTTAGGCAAGAACCAATAATTATTTTCCAAAGACTGTGAAGAAAACATTTTATTATATATCTGTTTCAATATAATAACTGTATCACTCACTTAAAACACGTACTTGATATATGTTTTTAAGAATTCAATATAAATAAGTATACATGATCATATAACTACTCAATGCCTAAATCACCTAATTAATAAAACCTCAGCACACGTCCTTTTTCTGTGACGTAGCAACTCAATATGGCTCCCTGTCCCCATTTTCTGATTAGCCTCCCTCCCACGGCTCAGCCTTCCTTCTCGGGAGCTCCCTCAACTCCAGATCCCTAAGAACCCGATTCAGAACTCTCCTTTTACCTCTACTAGTGTTCCCTCTATCTTCGTTCTTTAATTATAATTTTATTTACGTAAACGAATGAATTTATTACCCACATCAAATTTCTTGGAATAAGGTTAAATAGTTAATATTATTTTGGCGTTAACTGAAGTATAGATTATTAATCTTCCCTGATTTTTTTTAAACTCTCATCTGATCAGCATTGATTTTGGATTAATCTTGAACGTAATAAACATGATGAGTGTTAACTACCAAATGTATTGGGAAGTCTGATTTCCTATCGGTAAATCTAGTAAACTTCTTGAAATAAGGGTAAATTGTTCATAGTACTTTAGTGTTAACTAAAGTATAGATTATTAATCATCTCTATATATTTTAAACTCTCATCTGATTAGCATTAATTTTGAACGTAATTAAAACTGCCAGATTTATTGGGAAGTCCGATACTTTTATCGGTAAATCTGCTCTTGACTCTATTGTCAAAAAAAAAAAAAAAAAAAAAAAAAAAAAGAAGAGGATTACGTTATTCAAATCGTGACTCTATGTCCGTATTTATGACAATTGAGAATATACATACATTTACGCAGATTTTCATTATTTAATTCTTCAAATATAATGCAGGCTCTAACACTTATGGCACAGTTTGAAAAGTGGAACCGACATTTGTCCGTCCGACGCAAAATGCCAAAACGAAACAATATAACCTCGGGATTCAACCTCCCTTTGGACTAAAAACACACGTTTATAATTTTATAAGTATTTCTCCCCACTTCCTAGCGTGCCTTCGTGGTGTAACGGCAGCGCTGGGGCGGTATTCCCGAGTCCGTGGTCGACTCCCGGCGAAGACGGTTGCATATTTTTCATCTTTTCTGCTTCCAATTAAACTAATGACTCTACAACTTTATTATTACGTTTCCATATATTGAAAGCATAGGAGGCGTATCATTTATTATGTAATAATTGTGCCTTGTGTGATTAACTATACCTATCCATAATTTTTAATTAATTAATTTAACTATTCCTATCCAAAATTTTTATCTATTTCCGTCTTAAAAATTATCGCGTATTTTTAATTGTGCATGCGTTATCAAAATGATACTATCTTTAAAACAATACATTTTTTATATTTTCACTGATGCATACTCAGGATCTTATTTGTTTTAATTTCTATTTTCAGATATTATATTGGATCCACTGTGAAAACGTGTGAATGCCAATCAGGTTTTGAAGGCACAAGATGTGAAAAACAAAAAGATGACAGAAAACTCTTAGGTAAGAAAATACGAAAAATGAAATTCGGTAACTATTGCGAACAAATGCCTTCTTAACACTAATATAAATTATATTTATCATAAATTGTCATTATGTGTAATAATGAAAATATAGGAACCAAGTTTTAATTCACAATAATATTTGCTGCTATTTTAGGTACACAAATTGAGTATTAGCTAACTAGAATTACATCGAGATTAAATTTCTTTTCCAGTGATGGACATCTATAAATAATTCATTGTGCTAATAAGTAATTTGTTTCGAAAGGTCATTGCTTAAAATAAACCAAAAAGCTGTAATGGGTACGTCAAGGTCTTATGACAAATATAAGTAATCTATTATGCGTTAGTATTAATTAACACATAGATGTATATATATATATATATTAGTGTGTGTGTGATAAATCAAACTCAAAAGTAATGACTAGCAGAAATTTTGATTGCGAAGAAGTGTTAATCACAATGAATAGGGCATCGGAGGCGAAAGGCAGATTAAATCTTCATTTTTTATTAAAGTAAGTGCATTATGTTCAGGGTGAAATCTCAATTCAGACTGAGTTAGTTTTGGTTTTCAATGAATTTTGATTGGATAGTTAATATTCCTGTAAAATTACTAATGTCTGCTTAAGATTTAGTTCCATTTAAATCACCAGATTTATGTAAAAGTCATATGAGATGGATTAATCTAGAAATGACGCAGTGCAAAGAGAGGTTACTATTTTTAGAATTGAGAAGGAAGATTTGCGTTACTAATTTAATCTTTTACATATTCTTTATTTTTTTACACATATATATAAACTGCTACTACTCTTTCATTATTAACAGATTTAAAATTGCATATATTTTTGTTTTAGAAAAGGTATCATTTTATATATTGCTCTGATACTATTGCCTTATTCATTGAAAACTCCTGATTATTTTCTGAAATGAAAGTTTAAAATCATTTTCTCTCTTATTAAGACAGGATAATGCAGGTTCGCAAGTAGTTTGCAAGTGACCAAGGGACTCATCAGTGCATACGCTCATATCACGATTTTGGAATTTCAGTCCTGTTCCCAAGAGATTTTTAAAATTCTAATGAATTTTACTTTTTATTGGCAAAAAGGCCACATAGTTTCGGCACTCATTTCAAATAAAGGTTAGGATAAAACCCGGACAGTAAAAACAATACATGTAATCATCATCAACATGAAAACATAACGTCAGTATGTATAAGTAACAAAGTGTAAAAGGAAACGCATTTAAACTCAATTCTATGTTTCTGTAGTTTACGTAACGGTTTGAAAACAAATATAATGAAATTAAAATATAGAAAACATACTTTAAAACTATGTTTAAGAAGTCGTTATGATCCACTATGGCAAAAATTTAATCTCAAAAATATAATATAAATAACATTTTGATTTTTGTTTTTGCCTCTTTAACATTCTTTGACTTTACAAAAGCTCTTCGGTAGATCCATTAACACAGTTAGTAACAAATTAAACTCTCAAACTTCCATTTTGGGGAATTTCTGGAAAATGCATTAATTTTAAAACAAACAACAATCCTTGTTTATTAATGTATGACTGATCAAAATTACTTGTACCTCAGTTAGGGGTTTAACAGGGTTACAGCTATAAACGGGACATTAAATATTAGAACGGGACCATCCAGGCCCACAAACAGCATAACAGCCACCGTACAACTTTAAAATAACTCAAAAAAAGTTAACTACTAGAGATTTTAATTTTATTAAAGGCTGATGAGATCTACCAGCTACTCCGACAAATAATACCTATTCACCCACTTTGTAATATAAAATAAAACGCATGTTACTTACATGTACAAGACACAAGTTACTTACAAGTACAAGACTACAAGACACATGTCACTTACATGTACAAGACACATGTTACTTACGTGCACAAGACGCATGTTACTTACATGTACCAAAGAATACATTAACAATATAAATACGAATATTTTAGTTTTAAATAAAACAGACAAAATATCCTGAACTCATTCAATATGCAATTCCATTTCGTTTACAAAGACATATTTTACGAAATTTGACAATGTTAATTTAGACACTATATTTTTACATAAAATACTTAAGGTATTAAATTTCACAATATTAGGGATAAATCTTTGTACAATATTTTTCATATCGAACAACTGAATAGCAGGTGCTCTAAATTATCATTTCTTATACCACAAGGACAAGCACAATTTTAAATCGAGAAGCTTTCATAGTAAGATGAAAATGTCCATGATGAGTCAAAGCTTGATTAAGATACTTGTCGCTCATACACCTGTTCACTTACTATTGAAATTAAATTGTAAATGAATCTTTTTTTTTTTTTTTTTTTTTTGGGAATCATGATCATTCCACCTTGCCTACCAAGAAGACACACTTGTTTATTCCAGCATGGATTTCAAGCAATCAACGTATTATTAACGTATGACAATTATGCTTTTAAAACATTTTATGAATACTGTAAGGTTTATCTTAATTTCTCTATCAGTTAATTTTTAGTTATCTATCAGTTAATAGTGAGTTATATTTAGTAAAAGTTACTTTCCTGTCCTCTCTGAAAATGTAAGATTACAAATCTAGAAGTTACTGCAGTATGTCTGGAACGTTGAGAACAGGTAAGCGATTAATCGTTTAGTTCAAATTGATAGAAGCGTAAACTTGCGAAACTTACCAAGGGTTGAATACCCTTTATTATCCAAAATAAACCTAAGAGACGACTCCTTTCTTGGAGTTTACAACAAAGCCTCCACTTGGGCTTGAACCCAGGAATACTAAGAATTAAAACTTAACTAAAAAGATATAGCCGAAGCTATCAAGATTCTAACATTGTTGGCCCCTTAACGCTAACTAAAGGCGAAGCTGTCAAGGATCTAATGTACGGCCCAGCGTAATAATAGTTTGAGAGAGAGAGAGAGTAGGCGAGCGCTAAGAGGCGAACGCGCGCTGCATAGAATCTCTGGCTCTGTCACGAAGTCAGTAGAAATTCGCAGTTAAATACTTCTTATTATTATTTGCATTTGACCGCGATTTTGAAAACACGCTCTGGCCAGAAGTTGTGAGCTGAAATTCAGAGAGGACAGGAAAGTAAGTTTTAACTAAAAATTAACTGTTACAGAAATTAAAGTAAACCTTACAATACAGTGAAAATCCTTTAAGCTCTTTTTCTTAATATGAGATTAGAAATGTCATTAAAATTTGCAGTCTGAAACGATTTTGCCGTTACATTATATGTGTTGCTATATTATACTTGTATGTCCATTTTTATATGCGATAAAATAATAATAATGCAAGGCCTTTTCTGAAGCTACTTTATATGTGGTTTATACTTTATACGTGGATACTTATGAAGCTTTAGTTCAGGCATGGTGTATTTGCACCCAATACATGGAATGAATTAATACAATGGAATGAATTACATTTGCACCCATTACTACATACATGGAAGTACTTAGTATGGCTCGTCGTGGTCGTTGCGGAAGAATTTCTCTGAAATTATGGCATATTTGTTATTGAATTTTTTATTAAATTCTGTAGATAACAAAAGATGAGCTAATGCGGCTTCAGTACTGCAGCAAACCTTTAGTCGTGTTCTAATACTTGCAGGAAGGAAGTAAAGACGATTACATGTAAGTAATTTTGTTACGTGGTAAAAAAAAATATTTTTACGCTTAACTTTTATCTCTTTCAAACTGACTGCTTTGTGCCGCGACAAAAAAAAAACGAACTAAATCTAACTACTAAACTTTTACGTAATAATAAAAAACCCCCTTAAAACTAAGAGAATCAAAGGAAGATATCCTCCTGGTGTGTTTGGTAGAATCACGATTAATTATGCACATCCACAACAAAAATCTTAAGGCTATCTCTCACAAATTAAAACTAATTTATATCTCCAACCTGAAAAACATAAAATTCAATACTAAATCTAGGATAGCGTTCAACCTTAACATTTCAAATCCCACAGACCTCTTCAAAACACCAGGGAAAGATACAATCTCCCAATTAAGAAGTCTACTCTTCAAATCAAAATAAATTCAGTAAACCAATCGTATAGTCACCGACACTTAAAACATATTTTTTTCTACTACCGTAATATGAGTACCCAGGTTCGAATAAAAATAGCCACGTTTCCGTAAGGATCACATGGGTGACCTACAGCAGACCACAATTAATACACAAAAGAAACATACAGTAATAAATATAATAAACACATTTATTGACAATTCCCACACATTATAATTTGAGATAGCTGGCCAGACTACCCCTACAAAAATCTTTTAAAAGTTACTCGTGGTTTTTTTTTTTTCATATTAATCTCAATTTTAACATTATTCCATTAACACAAAATTCATAGTGAAACATGTCACAGTTCTTAATCATTTTAAACAGGAACTTAAGAAGATTAAACTCATTTAAAAAAAACTAATTTAGAATAATTTCATGATTGAAACATAGCACAACCATTTTAAAACAAAGATGCACTGGCCAAGATTTAATTCAATAAACTCTGATATAAACATAATGAAAAAAAAAACCTTTCTCAGCTTAAAAAACTATAGTAAAATGAATTGTTTCAATTTATCATTAACAAGACAAACTTTGTCGAGTAGTAAAAATTTCCAAATTTAAAAAGATTTCGGTATCAAAATAACAAAATACCAATGAAAATATACTCCACGACAAAATCGGCGTACCACCTTTGAAGCGACTCAAGGAAACCCCTAGATCAATCGTCGAAACATTAATGGCCAAATCTTCTCGTTGTTTCCAGACAGAACTTTTCATGTCATAGTTTCAAATTCCTCGTTAAGCAGCAATCCTAAACTCAATTCAAACTTCCCGTTTTCGAAGAGTTCCACAGAAAGATAAGAGAATGGAGGTCGAAAAACTGGAGAAAAAAAAAAGACCCCAAATTCAGACTCAGGCGATGAGACTTTCTATATTTCCATCTTTTCGCAACCAACTAGATACCAGCACGAACGAGAAGTCAGGATGTTCCACAAATGGAAAAAGAAACCTTCAGCGACGCAGAATTATAAAATAATTAGGCCGCAAGAAATAAGAATTGACGACTGTCAACATGACGAGCAACCCGCATGTCTCGGACCTCCGTACCAGGAAAATCTGGAGACTAAAAACTGAACTGTAACGCTGTCGAACACCGAAGAAACCGGCGCGTTTTCCTACGCTCCATTTAAGCACATCAGACCGCGGCCGGCCCCAGAGGGGCCCGCCGTCAAGAAACAAACCCGGCTATCTAAAAATTCTTTTTTTCAAGTCCAAAAGATCCCCTCCTGCCTTCCGCTGCAAACGGCTTAAAAAACCTCGGTAGACGCTCACCCGGGAGAAAACGAAATCCTCAAAATGTACTATTGGTCAAAACAAACATTAAAATTAAAAAATTTAGACAGCCAATATTAAGGAAACTCGGACTCCCTTCGCCAAGTAAAAGAAAGGTAATACATAGCCACTGAAATTTCAGAAATTCAAGAACTTTTACAAGAAGACAGACCCTTTCTTTCCACAACAAACAGAAGCAACAGAAGAATGCTTTCCACTATAACTTGTCAAAAAAAAAACGCCGCCCTTAAAAACTATTCGCCTCTGACGAGAAAAAACGTGTTTCACCCCCCCGCGAAAAAAAGGGAAAATCAGCGGACAGTGACTCTACCTCCCAAAGGCCTACGCGTGGAAAGGAAATCACCCGCGCCCTTCTAGTTGTAAACAATTCTGCCAAACTTTAAGTGCGCTTTGCCGTAAATTTAACATTTAAAATTTACAGCAATTTTTAAATAAGCTCAAGAACAATTCATAAACACGTAAAATATTATAATAACTAAGAATACAATATGCACAGTAAAATAGCTCGCAATAATTATACACAACAAAAAATACATAAGAATTTTTCATAACAATTCAATAAGCATTTTATGGCAGCTTAATTGTTGCAGTTGTACATGTCAGTTTTGCCAACACATGGTAAACCAGTGAATGGCAAAAATTATGCAGATGGTGTCCTGAAATCCCACTTTTCTAAAACGATGAAAAAGAAAAGACTGGCTTTACTCAAGAAGTAATGGATTATGTTCGAAAACAATGAGCAAAAGCATGATGCTTCTTGCATATTTGCAGCATTGCTTAAAATCGAACAGGGACCTGCAGGCAAAAACAATAAAACGCCAGACATTCATACATTCATGCAGCTAAATACATATTCATTTAGTCTGAGTATTCTCATCAATAAAAAATAACTGCATGGACATACTCTTTATTTTAGATGAAGCAAAAGCATGACTTTAAGAAAACAATGAGAAGTTTATAATTTAAGGGAACACTCATTATTTTAGATGGGGAAGTGAAAACCGCAATCGCATTCCTAAATGGGATATCACAAAATAAATTTATTTCTTAAGCCATGATTTGAACGGCTCATAAAATGCTGTGAAATATGCAATTCACTCTGTGAAGAACTTAGATTAAAAAATAAAAAAGGAAAATATTGGTAATATAGACGTCGCTAAACACGTGGGCACCCCGACATATTGCTCTAACCCAGGGGTTCGCAAACTTTTCAAATTTTGTACCACATAAATATGAAACAAAAATATATATACCACCATAAAACATTTCACCATTTAAAATCAAAATATATATACCACCATAAAACATTTCGCCATATATAAAAATTGCGGTAAATAGTGAGTTATAATGCATATATTAAGCAAATAATACAGTTGTACAAAGCAGAAACGACATCTGAGTTACAAGGCCAGCACTGACAAGATCCGTTTAACAATACGTATACATTCTGTCTTTTTGACATTTTAGATATTACCAGGTTAAAAAATGGTGAATGTTGTGAAATTTAGTCAGTTTTCTTGTAAAAGTCGTCATTTCAACATTAAAGTTAGAGGCGTAAAAGTCAAAAACTTAAAAAATACAGGTGTTTCTGAATAATAAAGACTAAAACAAAATGTTAAAAGAGGCGCAATTTTACATTCAGTTTTAAACATTATTTTTTTTCTATAAAATTTGTACCATTAAAATATTGTAATGTACCATAGTCTGAGAACCGCTGCTCTAACCCAAATCAAATACAGTTAAAAATTTAAAAATCTTCACCAAAAATAACTAAATCGAAAATTTAAGTGGTATAGCAATTAAACACAAAGTACCAACATATGCGGGAACAAATTTAGGAGAGAATTATCGAGCGGTTAAACTGTCGTTTAGGAAGGAATGTTTGAAAATATAGTGCCACATAAAAACGGTAAATAAGCATACACAATAACAATTACATAATAACAATCATCAAGTTTAAACATAATTACAAAATGTTTAATAATGAAATGAGGGTTTAAGATGGCCATTATCCTTTTAATATTATTTGCATCATTTACAGCTGCAAATTTTTATCACAGGTTAATTAGTCTCCAATTATTCTGACATCTTTTAACCAAATGACAAATGCTAAAATCATTTCTTAGAGCCTTGGATCAAGTGATGGAATTAAGAAAAATAAAATAAAGTAATATATCAAATGAAAAGTAACTAGTGAACTTACCTTGAAGACATAGGAAACCTTGCACGAGATGAAAAGATACGCTAATATATTTCTGTGTAAGTGCAGAAAATTTGGAAGGCAACATGACATGCAACCACGGCACTACGGCGAGAATTATATCATGGTTTCGAATTGTTGGAAATCAGAAATTAAATGTTAGTGCATTCCTTTACTACGCTTAATAGCATATCGGTTATTAAAAGTGTTTTTAGCCCAGTTGTTGCAGTTTTCATTAGCTGGCTTCCGAAGGTGAAATCTGGCTGTTTCCGAGCAATCGAATCGAATCTGAATCCCCAGGTGTTCCGCAGATGCATTGTTCACTTTCACAAAGTCCGAAATGGTTTAAATAACTCATATAATTGCCATGACCAGTGAGGAATTACGTTAACTCCGCTGTTCCGCTCTTGTGTTCCCTGCTGACTTAAGGGATGGATTTGTACACTCTTCTTCCTGTGGAGTCCTCATTCCAGCTAGTCTGCCTCTGTACCATGAGTTGACAATTTGCTACGGCTTGCAAGAGGGTTCTAGCGTTTGGGTTTATGATTGTTAGTTTTGCTCTTTCATCGGTAGCCTAATTATTAGTTCATTTTCTTATGATTTATGCGTAAAATAAAAAAAATAATGATAACACTCAAAGAATTTCCTTTTTTTTAGCTCAGTGCGCAGCCATGGGATGCACACAGACTTGCACTCTGACTAATCACGGAGACTATAAATGCACGTGTCTGCCTGGATACCATTTAACTGAAGATAAGAAGACTTGCGTTGAAAAAGGTATGTCTTTTGAAAATGGTAATTCAGTTTTAAAAAAAACTGACATAAAACTTTAACATGTTTTTAACTAAATTTCTGAAAATAAGAGATTTATTTTAATTGAATATGACACCGATGACTAAACCATGAACGTTAATAAATGAGGACACTTAAACAATGACCTAATATCGAGTAAAATCTTAAGCAAAATAAATATAAATAATTATATATTTCTATAATCCAAAGAAGAAACAATAGCAATAATAATTCAAATTAAAGAAGAGAGGTGGATAAAGGTATTCTATAAATAATATCGAAAGCCTCAACTTACGCCTTAAACATTTTTTAAACTAAAAAAAAAAGAGTGAAAATGTACATTAATCTTTAAAATGTGTAATATCTTCTATAAAATCAAAGAAGCTGTTTTCTGAAACACTCCTAATAATAATTAATATCTCTAATATTTTTCAATACTTTTGCTACGCTACGTATCAGCTTCATGCTCTAAAGTCTAAAGTGATAAGCACAAGCATTCTCTACTGAACGATAACATATTACACTAGTGGGACATAATAAAAACAAATAGCATCATCTCCGCCATAAAATGCTCTTTTCTTATTTAACTTGGGATACGTAGTATATAAAAGTAATCTTACGTACTTTTAAGTAAACATTCTTGGTAGTGTTCTTAAGACGATATCAGAAATACAAATTATATGGCTGCTTTTGAGCTGTAGTAATTAATTAACTGAGTAGTTTACGATCATAAGGTAAATACCTATAGATTTAAACAAGTATTCAAACGTTAAAACGTGTAGTTTCTAATAATGGTAATGATTCAAGTTTTCATCTTTCAGGTCGCACTAGATATTTGGTCAGTTTTAAACTGTATGATCAAAATGTGGATTTAGCGCACTTAGACGCTACCAGATATAACCAGCTGAAAAAAGGCATCGAAAATGCGGTAAGTAATGTTTTACTATAAAACTGATGCTAATACTACTATGAACTGCTATAAAACTACTATAAACTACTATAAAAATGATTTTAATTTTCTAAGTTTTTCAGGATTTGCTTCCCTTTAAATGTTAAAATAATTTAAATATAAGTTTTTATATGATGAGCATAGGGTATTCCAATAGTAAATTTGAAAGATTATTACTTCAAGCGTAAATTTTATTTAACTCACTGTACTAGGAGATGGGCGAAACCGATCCTTTAAGGGAACAGATCGGAACCCTTCGCTCACTGAAGTTTGATAAATGCGCTCGGAACAGGCGTGGATCAAGAGCGGTATGCAAAGATGGGGGAAAAGCAGAAGGAATTGCACAAGGGAGTGAGATCGCTGGAATCAACTCAACCAACCTGCTCATTTCCCTGGATTTATTTAGTTCAACTGTACTTTTGAGATTTCCTAAGAAATCCATTCGGTACAGAACAATAATAAAATTTTGAAACAAATGAAAACTAAACCTTTGTTAAAGATTGCATTATTTTATTACTATAACCGATATTTTGTGGCTACTACAAAACACACTATAAAATTAAATTTTTAGATTGGAGGCAGATGCCAAAGAGTTAAGGAGTAGGGAAAAAAATATTGAGGGATTTGGGGAAGCCTATTTAGAGTGTCCCCATGCCACACAGACAGTAAACATTTACAAACATCCATGCCTTCACCCTGGCTCTTCGGTACGGCAGTCAGCGTCGCTAACCATTATCCCGGTTGAGCGGTACTAACATTTTATTTTATCACTTAAGTACCCTGATATTTATCACGTTTCTTTAACCTTGAACTCGTTCATTTTAATACCAGTTTTGTAAATTAGTGTATCCTGGATATAGTAGAGGCACCACTAGTGGCCACATTTTGTCATCCCAAAAATTTGAAACTACTAGGATGTTATTTGATAGTTGAGAAGCGAGAAATATCATTTATTACTATATCGATGCAAAGCAGGAAATCAAACATCTGCCCCAAATAAGGCTAGTTTTCTATCTATAGTTTTAATTTTTACATTGATTTCTTTATGTTCCGATTGTAAAGCTATAATACTTATCTGCATTAATGGTATATATATATATATTTGCCAAATATCTTAAGATATATTGTCAAATATAAAAATCTAATAAACTAACCAAAATAGAATTGGGGAAATATTTTTCATTCCGAAGCAGCAGCTGAGCATTCAGTAAATGTAACCGTTTCTAAAGTTTTACGACTTAACAATTTCCCCTAACTGCATTCTTACATGATATGTTCCTGCAATTCAATGCATATTTCCGGAGTTTGTTTGCAATTTACTGGAAAAAATCCTTCGGTAATTTGCAACTTATATTTCACCAAGTTAATGCCTAGGAGGCTCACATTTACGACTTAAGAACAGAAGCTAAGCAGGAAAAAAAACCCACTAAAAGTTAACTTCCCTTCAAAGCAATAGCCAAGATCTTAATGTCGCTGGCCACATTATTTTACAATTTCATTGCGATAGTTTCCCACGGAAAGATTTGAAAATACAGAACTCGAAATTCCAGGGGGCAAAGAGGTAAAAATAAAACAACTTACGCAGCCGGTTTGTTTCTTCGCCATTCGGTTACCAATAATCTGGTTCCTTTTCCTCCCTGGCGAGCAGTAAAGTAAGAAGAAAAAACTCTTCAACTGAACTGGCAGGGAAAGTATAGGAGAAAAAAGAAGGTCTCTGTTTTAGATGAGATCGTTATACGCCTCGCTCCAAAGCTCTGACATTCCTTGCTTTCTTTTTCACATTTGTATCACGTACAAAATGCAGTTTTCGAGAAAGGGTGACTCAAGTCACTTTCTATTTGTTTTGCTTTAGTTTTGGCATTTTTGATAGCACATAGGTGATACTATTCCAAAAGGAGGGAAACTTTAGGCCATGTTTCTATTCGAAAACCATTTTTATACATTGTGATGAAGACAATGTAATAGAACAAATTGGTTCAAATAAACGCGCATTAGTCCGGCTAGCCTCATTTAAACAAACTAAGTCATTTAAGATAACATTAAATCATTAAGATACGCTTTTTTCCTAATAACTCATGCTAAGGTTAGTTTACACAATAAATAACATTTTTGGAGCCCTTCATTTTGAAGAGTAACGTTAGTTTTCAATATATTTGTTAGAGGATAAATTTGAAAATTTATCTTTAAATTTTGAATTAAATTTAATTAACTAATTTAATTTAATTTATTTTAAATTTTATTTAATTAAGTGTAATTTTCCCAACTGTGAAAAGAAGGGGGAGGGAAGAAAGTTTGTTTTCCAGTAGTGAAGTTTGAGAAGTACTGATCTAGGAGCTAAGCATCATGCTACCACTGAAGAAATTAACCACTCGTTTGATTTCAGTTTATTGAATGTCATTACATGTCTGCCACTTGGCTTCTTCCCATTTATAATTAAACACACGTTTCTCCTAGAAATGACAGCAAAGTGTTTTCCATTTGTTTAGAAGGCTATGATTAGTTACAGTAAGCTTGAATCCTTTGTGGTTTTTGTTTCTTTGTATTTGCTGCTTTCTAAAAGAAAATTCTTTGTGGCTTTCCTCATGTTCCCAGACAAAGATGAGTTGTAAATACAGTTTCTCAATGTAGTGTAATGGTTATCCAGTTTTCAGTGTGGCGCAGATTGTATCTACGACTCTGAATTGACAAATGTGCCAGAATCCACATGCGCATGTATTGAATACATACATCCATGGAAAACTAATAAGAAGAGTTAAAAGCTAAAAAATAAGTATACCATAAACGGTTGTTCGATGCATTAGGATGCACGTGGATCAGTAATTAAGCGAGGGGCTGGCCATGCGACGCACTGCAGCATTTTTAGAAGATTATAAATATTCGATAAGAATTGGTTACTAAAATATTAACAAAATCAATCAAAAGAAAACTTTCTTGCCTTTATTAATTGATTCATATAATTTCATATACAGAATCAAATTTTAGTGTTTCCGTAATAAAATAATGTAATACTTTCCATAACAGAAACAATTACGCTATCGCTACTGAATTATTGTAGAAATTTTTATTATTTGCTTCGTGATTAAGTAAATTCCAGTAGTGAAGTCAGTAAAGTTTCAGACAATCCGTAGGTACGGATTGTAGTTACGAAATCCGATAATATCTAGTTGCCTAGACGAGGAGTAAATAGGTTTATAATGCAGTTCCTATCATATTTTCTTGACATTATCATTTACAGGAGAACAATATATATTGAGGATATACTTTCAGCATTATATTCATGAATGTCCAATGCATTGTATTGGTAAATAAGGTGAATCAAAGTTCATAGATGCCAAAAACTGCTTTCCAGGAGGGCAAAATAGTTGTGTACTCTTCCTGAATAGCTTTACAGCCTAAAGAAATTTGGTTTGTTGATGCTGTGGCGTTATAAAAAACATCTTCTATATCTCAGATGTATATAAAACCAAAATAGTTTGAGAAATGTCAAAATATAACACGTTGTCAGTTTCTTGTTGACATCAGCATTTCTCCTTTTATTTAGCTTGCTTTTCCAAAGATATTTTCGTAACAATATACGACATAATGCTGAGATGTTTTGAGTTAAAAGGAAAAACCCGTCTGTTTTACTGGCATTATGACACTATGAATACACTCTGCAGACTTTATGATGAAGCAATATTTCACAGCATATGTTTGTGACAGTTTATTTATGTAGTCAGCAGGCTTAAAAAATGACCTGCGCAATAAAACAAAAATTTTTCAAACATGTGCTTATTTAAATTTAAGATTCTAGGTTTAGCTGTTAACTACAGACCCATTTCACAAAAATGTATTTCGTAGATAATCATGGATTACCCGAAACTGTCTTAGATTACATCATTTCGTGCTAACGCGAAATCTAATCTATAACCATAGTTAAGTCTCCCAAGCATGACTCCACTTTTCAAGTAAATTAACCTTACCGCTTACAGAATTATTTTAACAGCCAGTTGAAGTAGCCGACGTTGCGCGTGCTTTACGCAGATTGAAAAGGCTTCATCTTCATTTAGGGGGATGGAAGTAGTTTTCCTTTAGAAATCCCAGATAGATAGTTATTTCTCTATTACTTTTGTTCAAGATTAATTACCCAAAATTTTACTAAGCTCGAATGAAATTGTACAGTAGTGTAGAACTAACACAGCGCCATGTAACGGGCTTAGGAAAAACTGATACTTGCTTTGTTATTGGTTATATCTTATTTCAGAAATGAATTTTAGAAAAACCACCATCCACTTTGGGCAATTTCTTCGTCGTTTTTGAAATATTCGCAAAAACATACTAGACAGCTCAGACAAATTCTGAATAAATATTCTACAGTGTTCTGGAAAGTTTTACACTGTTCTAAAGAGAAAACGGATACAGCGCCATCTAAAGGTTTAGTAAGCGCTGATAGCCGGAAGGCAACAGTATTGACGTATATCTAAAAGTTGTGTGTCGTGAGTGCAACATTCTAATATATAGTATAATAACTTGGTGAAAGAAGTTTCAATGGCTTGGCGTTGGAGATATATAATTGAGTTAGTAGTAGTAACGGAGGACGTGGGCACCATCCCTCTAGCATTATGGTTATTCGGTTCTGCCCACGTCCGCGCTTGTCTAGTATTTATCAATAATTCTAAAATTTTGACATTGCCATATATTGTGGCTGATTTACAAAGGCAGAGTCTAAACAATAATTGTATTCACATTATTATCATAACTTGTCACATAAATTTTGGTTGGGGAATTTTTTGTTGTATTTGTGGTTCAGTACTTTGTGGCAAGTAGATTTGCTTTGAGGAATTATTAATGTTGTTACTGTTGATTATTAGTTGATTTTTCATATTCACTTCTTCTTATTATTTTATTAATTTGATAGATGTATGAGGGACAGCTTGGAGAGGTAGCCGCATGATGCGTGACGAAGCTTGTTTGATCCGTTATATTATTTAATTTGAAGTTATACAATTTGGAGCTTCTAAAGTACATTCTTTTGCGTAATGATTTTTCCACAGAAATAGCAGTAAGTTCTTACTTTACATTATCTTAAAATATGACCATATTCTTGGCACCTGAAACAGCGTTTTATACCATAAAATTATTTAATTTTACATGTTTCTATCCTAGAAGAACATGGGAATGTTCCATACATATCTTGAATGCTTTTGGAGTACAGTTTATTATTCACGAGATCTTTATTTTTATCAGAGAGTTTAAATAATGTACTAGATCCTGAATGTCACAACCTGTAGTATTTGATAATTGTTTTATTAGTGTATCTGTGGAGATATTACATGGAATATTGTCTATAATTAATTTTCGTGATCTCTTCT